GCACTGTGGCAGTATTAAATAAAAATGGTCCTTATTCAGAGAGTATGGGATAGAAATGAACCACTGAAGAGTTGTATAGCAGTGTGGCTTTCCTTGTTCTGTATTCCTAAGGAGAAGCCAGCAGTGCCATGGGGATACCATTGGCTCTCTGATGAGGAAATCCCTGTTTGCATCCATACCAATCAAGGCAAAGTTTCAGTGTCTGAATCTCTCTTAATTTGGTTCTTATTGGGTGCCCTCATTATTACTGCCTGATTCATCTTGTCCTTTTGAGCCAATGGAGTTTCTTATTCCAGTGGAGTAAACATAGCAAACATACTTTCCTTTTCATCAATGAATCTAGAAATCTTGCCTTAGTGATAAGTTGCTATATATCTGCACAAAAAACAAAAATTTATAAACAAGTTTTTCGGAGAACATTTATTATTTATTATTTGGGGGGTGAATAATTCTATTTATCATCAGTGATAGTGCTAACAGTTGCCAACTAGTTATTGAACACCTACCATTAGCCTTAGACTAAATTTTCATGCCACTCTAAATCCAGTGCCCTCCATTCTTATTGATAAAGCCCTAAGTGATCTAGTCCATCTCTATCTCTAGAACCTCCTCTTCTCCCATTCTTCCTTCACCTACCACACTTGCAAATTTACAGATATTTTTCAGGTACTCAAATTCAGCAAACTTACACCCACCTCAGAGCTTTGCATTCCCTGTGCCCCATGCCTGAGGCCTAGAATGCTTTTCCCCACTCATCACATACTTGGAGGGAGGGGTAGTCACAAAAAAATGACATGACTATCCCAGTGAGAGTTTCTCTAACATTCAATCTTAAGTCACCACCAATGACTCTCAATCATATAACTCTATTTTAATTGTCTACGTGCCATTTATTACTATCTGATGTTGTCTGTGTGTGTGTGTGTATGTGTTTTTTTTATCTGTCTTCCACTTCGGGAGATGTGAGCAGTGATTTGGGGGATGGGGGAGGGTCTTACTTCTCCATTACCTAATCTGTCCTAAGATATCTGGCATGTATTAGGCACTCAGTTATTATTCTTTGAATAAATTGATGAAAGAATGCATGTATATGCTCATGCCATGAGCCCAGCACTCTGGTAAACATCACTGATAAGGCATCCTTGAACTTGTTCAGCTCTACTTGTCCCCTTCCCTTCTTCCATACCAACCTACTTTCTTGAAAAAGTCAACAATGTACTGTCCTTCAGTTCTTTCTACTTATAATAAAGCCATTACAATCTGGCTTCCACTTCTACCCCTCAAATAAACTGCTCACAACAGTTCTGAGTTGCCAGCAAGTTCCTGATTGCTAATCCAGTGGATTTTGTAGTCTTTACCTTATTTAACCCATGTGTTCTACTTTCACATCCATCACACACCTCTTTGATTTCTTTCTATTAAACTATATATATATATATATATATATATATATATATATGCTATGGTTGCAATTTTCTGTCACATCAGGTAACACAACAATGGAAAAATAATTTCTGCTTAATAATTTCGTATCTTCCTGGCACTCTATACCTTAGCAAATTTATGAATCATTGCAGTGAATGAGAGGTACATGCTTATGTTCATACCTGTCAAAACTGTTCTTGATGACTTTCAACTTGTCTTAATTCATGAACTACATTTTTTTAATTGGAGAATATAAGACCTTTGTTAGTCATGTTTTTGATCATATCCCAATTGATAAGAGCTGAGGTTGTAAATTCCATTTTGTGTAGCCTTTACAGTCATTTTTTTTTTTTTGTAGTCATTTTTGGTAGAAAAGAGCTTTTAGGTTACTGTTATCTTCCCATTTTCCATTTTAGGAAATAGAAACTGAAAGTAAAGTTGTTTGAAAATAATTTTTAGGGGTGCCTGGGTGGCTCAGCGGTTGAGCATCTGCCTTGGGCCCAGAGCGTGATCCTGGAGTCCCAGGATTGAGTACCACTTTGGACTCCCTACATGGAGCCTACTTCTCCCTCTGTCTATGTGTCTCTGTCTCTGTCTCTCTCTGTCTCTCACAAATAAATAAAATATTTTTTAAAAAAAACAGTTTTTGTAACTTTATATATTATTTTCCCATGACAAGAAAATAAAACCTCCACAAACCACCCATCTGCCACCTTAAACAACAATAACAAAATTAGTTGGCAGACCAGCATTCTTTGTAACAGCATCTCATTAAAGTACATAAGTGGGGTGCCCTTGGCTGGCTGAGTCTGGGGAGCCTGCAATTCTTGGTCTCAGGGTCATGAGTTTGAGCCCCATGTGGGGTGTAGAGTTTATTTGAAAGGGAGAGAGAGAGAGAGGAAGGAAGGAAGGAAGGAAGGAAGGAAGGAAGGAAGGAAGGAAGGAAGGAAGGAAGGGGAATGAGAGGGAAGGAGGGAGAGAGAGAGAGAGAGAGAAAGGAAGCAAGCAAGCAAGCAAGCTTATCCAAGTTATACCCTGTTCTTAGCCTTTCTTCCAATCTCAAAAAAAAAAAAAAAAAGAATGGGCGGGAATTCGGTTTTTTTTCCTTCTGTTTAAAGCCCCTGCCACCTCAGGGGTTTTATTCTGTCTTCTCTCTTCTCTCCTGTTTCCAAGCCCTCCATCTCTCCAACTACTTTCTCAGCTCTCTCGCTCTCTCATTCTAATAGCAGACTCCATCAAACTCCCTTCCTAGGTCTTGCTCAATATTATTCTGCCCCTTGTTATTCATGTTTCTCAGAGTAATACATACCTACAGTCTCCTTTTCTTCAACTTCCATTCAGTTTTTTAAAATATTTCCTGTAAATGTGACGTACATATTGAAAAGTGCATAAAACATATACAACTTAGTAAATGAGTTATATAACACACACTCAAGTTCTAGAACACCACTTGTGTTCAGGAAATAGAAAATTGTGGCTACCCCAGAAGCCTCTGTGAGTTGTTTTCTCCCTACTGGGAGTAACCACCATCCTGGCTTCTGTGGACAGTCATTTTCTTGTTCTTCTATATGATTTCATCATCTTTGTATCCATTGCTTCACTCTTGAACCTGTTGACTTCTACTCTTTTTTTACCTTTCCACTAATTCCAAAATTCTCATCCTCAGGATGACCTCAGGTTATCCATAAACAGTTGCCAAATCTAACCGACATTTCTTGGTTCTAATCTCAACAAGCCTCTGCTGTATTTGACATTGTAGATGAGTTCATCCTTCTTGAAGCTGGTAAGATCTGTGACTGTATTTTACTGTGGTCTTGCCTCCATCAACCTTTCCTATTCTGTCTCTATCTCAGGATCCTGTGTCTGCCTCTTAAGTGTTGTTCTTCCCAGGGTTCCATCCGAAGTTACTGCTACTCATGCTGGGTATGGCAATGATGTCCACTCTAGTCTACTGAGCCTCCACTGTTATACAGATTTCTTCCAGATCTAATCATCAGCTCACACTTGTTCCCTAAGCTTTAATCTCACACAGACAACTGCCTGGTGGATATCTCCACCAATGCAGGATCTAAGTTAGACTCTATTATCTTTCCCTCTGATTTGGCCTCTCTTTTTTCTCCCTACTTTTTCTGAAGCAAGTATTGGCACTATTACCAAATCGTTGGCATTCATCAATTCACCCAACTTAGAAACCTGAAAAGCATCCCAGTTTCTCCTTTCCTTCATTCCCTATATCTTTTCAATGTCCAAGTGATACCATTTTTATCACCTCATGTATTTGCCAAATCCATTCCCTTTTTCCTATCCTGTTACTCTTATACTTGAGGCCCTCATCACCTCACTGGCTTTCCTCACAGCCACCTTTCTCGCTGCATTGAACCTTCTCCTGCTCATATTCATCACCATCCCTACAACTACAAGCCAAAAAGTTTTTTCCAAAATAAAATTCTAACTATTCTGCTCCTACATTTATTTAAAAAAAAAAAAAGATTTTTATTTATTCATTAGAGACGCACAGAGAGAGAGAGAGAGAGAGAGAGAGAGAGAGAGGCACAGGCACAGGCAGAGGGAGAAGCAGGCTCCATGCAGGGAGCCTGATGTGGGACTCGATCCCAGGACTCCAGGATCACGCCCTGGGCCGAAGGCAGGCGCTAAATCGCTGAGCCACCCAGAGATCTCTTAAGTATAGTTTTAAATGTAGGAGCAGGGCGGCCCGGTGGCTCAGCGGTTTAGTGTCGCCTTCAGCCTAGGGCGTGATCCTGGAGACCCGGGGTCGAGTCCCACGTCGGGCTCCCTGCGTGGAGCCTGCTTCTCCCTCTGCCTGTGCCTGTGCCTCTCTCTCTCTCTCTCTTTCTCTTTTTTTCTCTCTCTCTCTCATGAATAAATAAAATCTTAAAAATAAAAAAAAAAAACTAAAAATGGAAAGGCCCAGATAAACTCCAAGTTCCTTAAGATAACTTATAAGGCCCTCCCTTCTTTTGCCCTCCATTCTCCAGGCTCATTTTTCAGTATATCTGGAAGTGCATGTTGTACTTTGTCAGCATGTGTGCTCTTTCTTAGTTTCATGTCATTGTTCATGTTGTCCCCTCCACTTAGGATGTTCCGTTTGACTTATACCTAATCCTTTGAGAGAAAATGTAAGTTTCATACTTCCAAGGAAGCTTTCCCTGTCTTCTTCCACCCTATCCAATGGTGGGTCCCCCTTGCCACTCCATTAATACCTTGTCACTGTGCTTATTACATCGTTCTGTCATTATCTATTTCTGTCATATTCTGCTAGGCTATTGTACTTCTCTGAGAGACCAAATACCTAGCACTGGGCATAGTGCCGAATGGAATGAGGAGTGAAGGAGAGGAAAGAACACACTGATATGACACTGATATGAAGTATAAAAGAATTGTTAGGTTATGCACTTTAACACAGAGAACCATCTGGATATGAATTGCGCACACTAAACTCAAGGAGGCAGCGTCTCAGGGAATCTCTTACCAAAAAAAAAGAGCTCTTTGGGAAAGAATCAGTTGTTAATTTTCTTCTAACATTTAATAAACCCTCATAAATACTCATGTTGCAGACCAAACCTGGACCACCCAAAAAGCCGAAGACCCCTTCTGGACAATCAGCCTTAGTGTATTGCTACAACTGTGGGCAAGAAGGCCATTATGGACACGTAAGTTTGAGTGGCACTGGGGCAGAAAGCCTTCTGTTGTTCTGGAAGTGGTTGCTGAAAGATGAACTCAAAAAGAATGTAATTCTGAATGCTTACTTTGTTTTATGAACTAACATCCTGAGGTAGACTTCATATATTTTCAACTGATTGACTTCTCCCATCCTGCTACAGCAAGGATCTGTCGGAGCACATTCTTCTAATTGTTTTCAGTACATAGGAATAAGTTAGGCTAACACAAATACAAAGCTCATAAAATCCAGCAAACAAATAAAAGTAATCAGCAGAATGGTTACAGTTCCTGTGAGTCCTTATGGTTGCCATTACTTTGACACAGCTAAATCATGATTTTAGGTTTTCTGTGTAGTTCTCCAGTATCTCTAGTTTTCCCTGGTATTGTTTTCACTTAAATCTTCATCACTTACATGTAAACCCTAGCACTAGTGTAAAGACAGAGGTGCTGCATCTTTGACTAGCCTGCCCGCCCCACAAATGTCCAAATTCCCTATCTAGACTGCATGTGCCCACCCCTAACAGGGCCAAACTCTGTGTGTTTTAGGTGCAGGGATGTCAAAGCAGAAGAAACTTGTGCTGTGGGACGGGAGGGAATCTCCTAGCCTCTTGTCTCGTTAAATATGAAATAGCAGCAGCTCATCCCAGAGACAGGCTGCAATAAGAATCCACTCAGAGCTCTCTCCTACATCCCTGGAATCCTGCATCAGAGGAAGAAAGGCAGTGGCACAAAAAATAGAAAATCTGAATGGAGAAATACATTCCTAGTCTCCAGGTGGGCTTCTAGCAGCCTAGATAAACCAAGATAATCTAAGATCAGATTTGATGACACAAGAGGAAAGTATTCAGTGGGCAGAGAGTCCTCAAAATGGGTTGGGCTGTGAGCAGTAGGATGGAGGAGTACTGTACTATGTGACTTGAATTCTGACCATGGTGCCTCATTCATGCAGCCTTGGGTCTGGAGCTCTATAGCATAGAGAGACAGACTGACTGGGAAAAGAAAAGGGCTGGGTCATAGCTCACCAGCAGATGAAGTTTTTCTTCCATGTTGGGGCAGCAGGACCATGGAGTGAAGGGATAGAATATGAAAGTAGGATGAAGTTCTGATCCTCAGTTCCAGTTTTTGCTCTGATACTGACTTAACCATGTGATTTGAACAACCCACTATTTTCTCTCTGTCTTCAGTTTCTTTATCTACAAAGCAAAGAAGTTGTACGGGGAGATTTCTCAGTACTGACATTTGGATGCTGTTTCCAGTGTGAACAAATCCATAGTATAGTGATATGGATGGAGAGACCCTGTAGTATACTTACTTCATTTCCATAGAACTCACACTGAAAGCCTTGTTAGAGAATACTTTTTCTTACAGAATTATCATCTCTAGATCTTTTCCTGCTTTGTGCCTTTCTCCTTACTGCCAAAATTCAGATGTTGCCAACACTGTTTAGGAAACCTATTCACATTAAACATTCCACTACCACGCAGATCACATGGATGTACAATTTATGCTTACTGACTGCTTACTTACTGTGTATTTTTAGCATTTATGTTTGTTCAATTGAAGAAAAACAATTATAGTTGGACACATAATACTTACTAGTCACTCCTGTTAATGTAGATAGGAAATATATTAACATTTGGAATTTATCCCTGAAATCTAGATTTAGATAGTTTTTAATTTACAATAAAGCAAATTTGGCAGCCTCATTGCTGCCATAGATGAAGAACTCTAGATTATTCACACTAATGAAGAAGATCAGTGGTGTGGCTAATCCAAAATAGTAGATAAATTATATAGCCAACTATCAATTGTCTGTGCTAATGGAGGGGACCAGCGATGTGGATAATCAAAATATAATTTACATTTAGCTTTGGAAAATATTTATGGTACTGTATAGTCACACCAGTCTAGACCGTACAGGATCCAAACATGAGACTATGCAGATGAGAAAAGATGCCTGAAGACCCCTACACTTCACTTTCAGAAATACAGCTCTACAGATGTTACTGAACAGCCTCTTCATGTGGAAGATATTCTAAGGTGAATGTGGCACCGCCTTTCCCTAATTCCACTTATTCTCTAATTGGGAAGGCAGGAACAGTCATAAGCAGCTCCACATCAGGCAGACTGTCATAGGAAACAGTAGTCACTGTGCAGAGAGACTACTCCAGGAGCATGTGAAAGTATGAGTGAGCACTGGGAGCGTATCAAGGTCTGTAGTACCTTTTTATAATTGTAATTTGCTCTTAATATTTTATGGTTAGAATCTCAGTCCATTTAGGCTGCTATAAATAAACTACAATAGACTGGGTGGTTTATAAACAACAGAAACTTATGTCTTAGAGTTCTGGAGGCTGGGAAGCCCAAGATCATGGTTCCAACAGAATCCATGTCTGGTGAGGGCCTGCTTCCTCAGAGATGACACTTTCTTGCTGTGTCCTCACAAGGGTAGAATGGGCTAGGGAGTTCTGTGGGGGGTCTCTTTTATAAGAATATTGATCCCATTCATCAGAGCAAAGGTCTGACAACAACAAGCAAAGGTCTAAAGCAACATAAGGCCAAATAAAATAAACCCTCTAACAGAGGAACAAGGCAAGTGTAGTGGAGATCCAGCTCCTGTTGCTGTTAATCAGACTGAGAGAGGGGTTTGGCAGAAAAGATTGAAAAAAGAAAAGGGTTTCATGAATAAAGAAGGAAAGAAAATCCAAGCCTGAAAGAAGCAAGTACACACAGTTGGGTGTGGTTGGGTGTGATTGGATATGATCCTCCCAACATCCCAGCAAGACTGCATCCTAAGCCACAGAGTGGGGTATCCCTGGTGCGGGGCTTGTCTCTAACTACAGTGGTCCATAATCTTGCAAAAAGGTTGTCTGCACAGTGCGCTTATTATCAAATTTGATCATTTGAAACAGTAATTTCAAACAACTTGCAGGAATGTACAGAAAGACGAATGTTTAACCAGACGTTTCCAACATCTCCATTCATCTACTACTATGATGACAAATATGAAATTCGAGAGAGAGAACAGAGAATAAAACGAAAAGTGAAAGGTATGTTATTGACTTCTTATGAGATCCACCTTTGCAGTAGTTCCTAAATACCTTCTCTTGCACTGTCTTTCCCTGCTCTGGGGGGAATCTTTGGTTAGCAGTGAAAATGTTTTTAAATAATTACCATAGAAACTAGAACTTTCTTGATCTCCAGAAATCAGGCACCCACTTCAGAAACTGTTACGTTCTTTTCAGTGATGATTTTTCTCATATAATGACCAGTTTAGAATATGTCCAGAAAATACTTCTATCCATATAAGTATGCAGAGTTTTTAAAGGCTACTTTGAGATTTTTTTGTTTAGCAAGTAATTATTTTTTCCCTTTCTATGTCTCTACTATTTTTCATGGAAAGAAATGCTTTCCCTGCTAGGTAATTCCTGGTGATTCCTGGAGCTTCCTTAAAGATGTCCATTCTTAGCCCACCCTCTGTGGTTTCTTTTACTGTTGCTAACATAAAGTTCTTCTATTTTATCATTTAAGCCTACTCTTCCTAATTCTTTCTTGCCATATTCTTCATGATGGTTTACCAAGTTACTTTTGTTGCTTTAAGGACAAAATAGTTCTACATTTTTCAAGTTGACCTATACATTATTAACTCTTTTCTCCTTTTTGTTATTCTTTTCCCCAACTCTCTGAGTTTGAGTATTTTTCAAACGAAATCACTTCTCAACTCCTGCATATGTTATATATTACATTTCATATGAACTTTATCTCAACGATAAATTATAGTACATGAAGATATTGATTAGGCAGCTAAGTTAAAAAATTAAGAAGAAAAGCACCAATGTCACCTCTAAATTAAAAGATTATGGCCAAAAAAATAAAAAATAAAAAATAAATAAAAGATTATGGCCACTACTTTATTTTCTTTATACTTTTCTATATTTCCCAGGTTTTCTATAATGAGTCTTTATAACTTACAATCCTAGAAAAGCCATTTGTTTTCCCTTTTAGCTAGTTATATTGACAACTCTGTGGCTACTTAGAGGTTCTCTATGATTCATTGGAATTTTTATTTTATGCTAATGTCCATTAGTAATTACCTTTGCTCTATATCCTAGAATTCATTTTTTTGTTCCCTAAATATATTACTTTGCATTTCATCCTGTTTTATTATAGGCTTCTTCTTTAATCTTTCAAGATTTTATTGGCATGTTAGTTTTTCATCCCTCACTGTAACCTCATCTCCCACTTACCCCATCAGAATCACGACCATCAACAGTTGTAGTAAGGGTGCCAAGTCCTGGCAGAATTTAATATCAGATCTGGCACCCAAACCTCTGAGATACATGTGTGTGTGTATATTCTCCAAGCCAGTGATACCTGTTCTGGAGGAGTAACCTCCCGTCCAGTTTAGCATCCACCTGTAAGTCCTGTGGCCAGACTTTATCTTAAGAGGGTAATCGAAATGTCATATGAAACTGTTAAAAGACCATTTTACACATCTTGTTTCACTTTGTCATCAAGGGTTATTTCTTTATCACTGCAAGAACTTGAATTGGTCAGACATGACTTTTCTTCACAAAGCTAAGATGATTACTGCTCTCACCAGTCTTCATCTCTGTTGTTCAACCTAATTCAGCTGTACTGAACAGAATAAATACCATTGTATTTCTGGATATTTTTTATTTTTAGCAATCAAATACAGAATTATAATCATGCAATTTTTAGTCAATGATTTTTACCTCCTTAGCAATGGCTATTTAGAATGTCCTATCATTTACACATTTCATTGTCTGGTTTCCTTTTCTGCTAAGTTGTTTGCAGACCTGTGAAAGCTGTGTGTGGACTGTCTGGCTGCTGAATATGCAGAAATACTTTTATATTTTCCAGAACTCCAGAAGAATGGAGATTTCCCAAGGCAATTCAAGAGACCTCACATGGAAGCAGCAGATAAGAGGCCCCACCAACACAGAAGGAAGAGCCATGCCTCATGTAGAAACAACAGGTGGCCTCAAGAAAAGAAAGAAACCCAAAAAGAAATGAGCAGGAGCAATAAAGAACGAGAGAAACACAGGAAGGCTGACAGGTGTCATGATTTGGATGAGGACTTCCCCAGAGGCCCAAAACTCCACTCTTCTTCTGGCACTTTCAGAACCCAGAAGGCTCCTAAGTCCTTCCACCACTCATCGCATTCTCACAAGCCAAGAGAAGACAAGCTGCCCAGAGAGGGCAAACGGAGCAAGCATAAGAAAAAGAGCCACTTGGAGGGTGATGGCAATGATAATTTGTTTCTTATTAAGCAGAGGAAAAAAAAATCCAGGTTGTGAGACAGCTTCTGATCCAGCTTTCCAGTGTTTGGTCTTCATGCCTATAACATCCCAGCAAAATCTTTATTATCTGTGATTAAATAAAGTGCATTTTTGGTTTTGTTTGTAATCTCAGCCGTGCCTGGAACTGCTGAACAAAGACTGTGGAGATCTCCATTCTCTGTGTCTAACAGATTATTAAATGTAGGAGGGGGAAAAAACACACAGATATACTCAGACTTCCCCTGTTCCTATACGTCATTTTTACTCAGAATCCTAGGGATAAGAAAAAATCTTTTCAAGAAAAAAATTTTTAAATACTCTAATAAAGTAAAAGCTCATCAAATGTAATTCATCTGCATTGGGAATATGAAAATTAAATCCTTGCAGGAAGAGAAATTAATGTTAATATGAAAAATTCATCAGTCTTTCATCATTACTTTATTCTTTTTTAACATCAGAAAGGGTAATAGCTGTAAATCTCAATCTAGCTGTTCTTGCTGTTGAGGCTGGAGTCAGAATTTTCTGACAGAACATCAGGGGCTAAAAGGTGAAGGTGTCCTCCTTGAAACCCCTAAGAGGTGGAGAATTGGCCTGTAGCAAAATACAAGCAAGGAACCCAACCAGTGCAATGGCATGAGAGAGATTTCCTGAGACAAGTGAAAGAGAGTCCTAAAAAATTGTAATCATAAGGAAATAGTTTTCACCATTTTTACAGTCACACTTCATGAAGACTGTCACTCAGATGTATAGAGATGGATACTGCCCCACTTAAAACACTGTTTTGTTTTCACGGGTTTTTTAACTACCACAAGGCTATTACAGAAATTTTTGTACCTGTGAATTTTTTGTATTTATCAAAGCTTAATGTTAGAAAAATAAAATGTCTGAAAAAGAGTAAATAAGTTTGTCAATTATGTAAAAAGGCAATAAGAGTTTGAATGACAAAGGCCATGGTTGGGTTGGACACGTGGCTAAAGTTGCAAAATCTCCATGAACTGGGCTCACAATGCCCTTGTCACCCAAGCACTAGCTCCATGCCAAAAGAAAATGATGAGGAGTCCGTTAATTCGGGTGATTTTAGAATGTTAGGTTCTTACATTTGTGTTTTACTCTTTGTGAAGTACATGAACCACTGTGTACCTGGTGGGATCAGCTCTCCTATCTTGTAGGGGGAAAGGGAGAGTCTCTTCCCCTAAAACAGCTTCAGCATCAGCTGTGGCTTCACAGTGTTTAGGCCAGTTCCCTCTCTGGGGATGCCCTGCTCTCAGCTAAGTGCAGGTGTTCTTTGTGTGTTGGTTCATAGCTTCCTGACATCCTTGCAATTGTTTTGACCCCAAGGTAAGTGGCCAGAGTCTTTTAACACCCTGCTAAAAGGGCATGACAGCCGTCAAAAAAAACGGCTTCACACAGTGATAAGTCTTGAAATAATTGTTGTTATTCCTCATTAAGACCTGGGATAAGCATGTATTATTATTGGTGTGGTGTGACTAGCATTGCTTCAGGTGCAAGGGCATCTCCTTTCAGGGCAGAGAGGGGATTGCCATTCCTTAGGATCTTACATACATGGCAGATTGTTTGGAGAAAGGAAGAAAAAGTGCTCTTTTTTAAAATTATTTATTTCTGCACATTTTCCTATTTTCCCCCCATTTTTTTTTATTAGACAAGCATTTTGTGCTAGAATATAATTTACCCTTCAGGCCCATGCATTTATATGCAGATAGGAAAGGCAGCTGAGCTATTTTACTTGTGGGCATTAGGGTGGTTTAGGAAAGAGCAGAAACACAGAGGAGCTTTTGCTCCATTTTCTCTTTGTTGCCTGGACACCTGACTCTCACCAAGTGTTAAATCAGTCCATCAGGGACTCACAGTAGTTTTCCATACAAAAATGGAAGCTTAAAAATATATTAGAGATTCCACAATTCATCAAATAATATTTTAAATGCATAAATATAATTGAGAAAAAAAGCAAATGTCCCAAACAATAAGCATCTGTTTAGTTGTTAAGCTTAAGAAGGCTAAACATCTTTTGCCTCTGACTCCACTTTGATTACAGGCAGTCTAAGTTGCTCCTTTCCTGGGTGATAGCTTGGTTCATGTTTGCCATTCTTAGAATATAGTACAGAGAAACTGTCTCCCGTTCTCTCTGGAAAGTCTTGCTTTCATGGACCATGCTACTTGCAGTATACCTATTACTCGATCTTTATTTTTGTTAACAAAGATTACATGTTCATTTAAAGGAAAGAAAATGAAAATAAAAAAATGATACCTGATTCTTACACCCAAAGATATGATTACAATTCTTAGAATCTTTCCTTCCTGACTTTTTTCTATACATATATATATTGTTTTGTAACCTCTTTTTTCACTTAATGCATTGTGAAAATATTTTTTTCTAATCAAATATGTGCCTACATCATTATTTTTAATGGCTACATGATATCCTGTTATATGGCTATACCATAACTTATTTACTCAGCTTCCTGTTGTTGAACATTTTGGTAGTTTCTAATTTTCATTATCTTAAAAAAGTATATGCACATCCTATCTTCTCTGATTATTCTGTTGCAATACAATAGAATTTGTGGGTCTAAAAAATATGTATATATTTCATGCACCTTTTAATACATATTGCCAAATGACATTCCCAAAAAGTCATACTACTTCCCAGTCATTTATACATTCCTGGTAGTGTTTGAGAGAGTTCATCTCCCCACTCCCACAATCATGGGATATTATCATTCCTTTTTCTCTTTGCTTCTCTCATGGGCCACGAAACACTGTTTGTTAGTGCTACAGTGAAAAGAGTGATGTGTGCTGTGTTTGGGTGTAGGGCTGAATTAACTATATATCAATCTGTTGATAAAAGATACGGAAAGAAGTTCTCATAGAAAACAGCTGAAAAGTCTTCTGCCAACAAAAGGTTACAGACAAAATATGAGACTTTCATTCCTTCGTAGCTGTCTTGATCCCCTGATAATTACTATTTTTGGTTTTTGCAACTTAGAAGGTACTACTAGCATTTTGTGACTAGAGGCCAGAGTTGCTGCTAAGTATCCTATAATATGCAGGACAACTCCCCACAACAAAGGAATATCCAGCCTCAAATGTCTCGTCTCTCAGAAGTAATTCTTCCAACAAGAAGGAGAACTCACATTGCCTGCTACATCTGAAAGCAAGAGCCAGATGTATCCTTATCTTACAAGGTTTTTTTTTTTTCATCAGACTGCTGATATTTGAGAGTTTGGTGGGACATGTCCCATTCATCTAAAATAAGGACACTAGCTCCATAACATGAGGGTCTCCAGACCTTTTGGACCACTTTGTGGAAGGACAGGGCCACTGGAGACTTAGCCAGCTGAGGGGAATTACTTACTGTTCCAATTGGGAAGCAGAAGCACTAGGGCACCAGGAAGGCTATGAGCTCCGTTGAGATAAATATTTGTGGTAAGAGAACTAAGGAAGTCAGCTAGTGGGAAAGAAAAGAGCTGGAGATGGGCTGTAGGAACCATCACCAGGACCCAGGCCCGGCATAGGTTCTTAGGTTTTACCCTTGGAGTTAACATTAAAGAGAAGTACCATCCATTGGAAGACATGATCTGTTATGCATGCCATGCAAAGGATCACTTCATGTGATGAAGCTGTTTCACTCTTGCTCTATCCAGAGAGAACAACTCCAATTGCTGGTGCATTTAATGCAAATGTAATGTATACAATGGACATTGTACATACCCATCCTATGAAATAAATCACTTCTTAAACCATCTACTAGGAAGGGTTTCCAGTTAAACCCAGTAAGGGAGTGAGGAAATGAGGCAGGGGAAGAGAAGGAATCCAAGCCAGATGTCTTGTCAAGTCAAGTCCCACCCAGGAGCATTCAAATCCAAAGTGAGCAGTAGACACGGTGTAGGCCACACTTTGAGCTGCCCTGCTCAAGGGCAAAGGAGTCAAAGTGTGTGTGTGTGTGTGTGTGTGATTTTTTTGTTTTGTTTTGTTTTAAATCACCCATTGTGTAAAAGCTGCCCTCAGGGGCCTTTCTCTTAAGTATAGTGACCCTGGCTCTGTACACCCAGGTAAAGTGGGTTTGGCAGCTAGTGGGCAGCGCCTAACAGAGACACAGGGATATAAACAAAACACCAATGTCATCTGCTACAACCATGATCTCAGAACAGTCCTTCCCACAAAAGGATACTTACCAGTATTCATTAAAAATAATTTCTTAAATTACTTTTGAATGCAGAGAAATAGAACTTTATGTATATTGTATGTATCCATTTTCTCAGTAAGTTTATCACCTTGAGGTACCCGTATATTACCATGCAACATAAGAGTCCAGAAGATCAATACATTGCATTTGTCATCGTCATCAAAAGCAGGTTCAGGAATTTCTACTTCTAGCCAAGATTAGAGTAATAGGGACCAGATTTACCCTCCAACCTGAGACCATGTAAAAAATACATGAAGCAGTTTTCAAGACCCTGAACATCAGACAAGGAAGGACACTGAACTTTGAGAGATGGCAGATAAGTGAGGTGTGCCATATGGTTGCTCCAGCAGACTGCTGAGGGGTTTCCCGATTGTGAAGCAAGGAGGGGAAACCCAGGAAGAGCCTGATGATCTCCCTGAGTTAAGGAAACGGAGTTGGGAGTCTGAAAAAGCCAATGTGCCTTGACTTTGAAGATCTGGTTACTAGAGAGAAGAGAGTTGCAAAGAGAGAACCCAGAAGTCTGCAGAGGGTCCCCCTCAAGTCTTGGGCTGAGTACTGGTTAGTGCACAGGGGTAAGGAAAACAACGAAAAGATTAGAGTAAGCTTTCTGGAGCTCATAAAGGGCCACAGATTCATTCCTGCTCTCACCAGTCAGAGGAAAACCTCAAAAGGTGGTGTGGCACTGTCTACAGTACTCAGAAGAGTCTTTCCTCAGTGATGGGGAAAATTAGCCCTCACCTAAATTCTTCTCTGGTTTTACCTAACTAACTTAAAAGCAAGAACTGAAAGAATTAAATTGTTTCCAGTAACAACCAATTCTAAGAATAAAGCTCAAGAATATTTATAGGAATACAAGAATATACAGTACTCAGTAATTTAAAATTCACAGTGGGATACTGTGGAAAAAGGCAAATTAATCTAGTGACAGCAGATCTGTAGTTGCCTGGAGCTGGTGA